TTATTTTTAGAGCCCATAAACTCACCTCACAATATCTATCAAACCCCATAGGTGAGACACTTCGAATCAAACCCAAACCTAGCTAAAATTTAAACCAAAGTTGATGAAAAATATGAATTTTCCACCATGGCCAGACCTGCAAATGGTGTTTTGACCCCCTAAACAGTTTCTAAGTCCAATTTAAATAGTGAAAATGGATTCTTTAGGTTCATTTTAGGCTAGGACAATACCCTTTACATATCAGAGCAGAAGATTTAACAAGTTTCAATTTTCAAAAACTCAAACCCTAGCTTTAAACTTCCNTGGTGTTTTGACCCCCTAAACAGTTTCTAAGTCCAATTTAAATAGTGAAAATGGATTCTTTAGGTCCATTTTAGGCTAGGACAATACCCTTTACATATCAGAACAGAAGATTTAACAAGTTTCAATTTTCAAAAACTCAAACCCTAGCTTTAAACTTCCTTTTCTTCAAACCACCACCATCGACCATGGCAACCATCCAAATTACCACCAAGCTTCAACTACAGCCCCCAGAAACAAATTCCAAACTCTAGAATAAACCAAAATCATTCCAAACATCAAACCCGCTTTAGTACCTAAGAAAATCCGAAAACTTCAAAACAGAAATTCTTACTTAAGTGGTAATCAGAACAAGTTTTAAGCATCATAAATGGAATCCTAGAACCCTAATTAGGCTAGATACATACCNAACCAAAATCATTCCAAACATCAAACCCGCTTTAGTACCTAAGAAAATCCAAAAACTTCAAAACAGAAATTCTTACTTAAGTGGTAATCAGAACAAGTTTTAAGCATCATAAATGGAATCCTAGAACCCTAATTAGGCTAGATACATACCCCTTGTTGCTTGAATTCAAGCCTACAAAAATCGAATTCTTCTAGCTTCCTCTTCTCTCTAACTTTTCTCACTCTCTATCGATTCTACTCTATCAAGCCAGCCAACAGAGGTGTTTTTCATCTCCCTAAGAAGCGGAGTGGATGGCATGCGGTTAAGGACCTCCAAATGCATCTAGCAAGCTACTTAGAAGTGGTGGCCATGTAGTGGCATTTTGGTAAATATCACAAAATTCAAAAAATTAANGAGTTTTTCATCTCCCTAAGAAGCGGAGTGGATGGCATGCGGTTAAGGACCTCCAAATGCATCTAGCAAGCTACTTGGAAGTGGTGGCCATGTAGTGGCATTTTGGTAAATATCACAAAATTCAAAAAATTAATTTGAATATATATATATATATATATATATATATATATATATTACATACATATTAAAACACACCCTAGAAAATTGTTCATTTAATTTTTGGAGTTCAATTAAACATCTAATTTGATCCTCCAATCTCACTTCCACACTCCTAACTCTTTGATACGTGCTAAATATATCTCGTCCGAATTTGCATTCCAACTTTCTCTCATTTCACCTAAAAAACTTATAACCAAATCCAACACGCCACACATCACCAGAACCCCATAGCACACACTCTTGACTATCAATTCATAGTCCAGTTATCTAGTCCCCGAACCCTTAATCGTAAAGACACCTAACTGTTATAGTATATTGAAAATTGTGATACATGGATTTAATGGAATTTGTGATTGGTTGAATATACATTTTTGATAAAGTTGTGATATTTTTCTCTTGTATGGTTTGAGTGTGATGGACTTAGATTACCTTTGAAAGCTATCGTAGAGTGTTATGACACCCCAATTCTCGGGGGTCCTAATTACCTGTTAAGCCTTGTCAATTAACCCAAGGCATTGATCTTGACGAAACTATCCCAATGAAAATCTGGTAGAGTCTCCTTTGTATGGGGAGCTCCCTCCAAACCTTACATGTGTTCTAAACTAACACAATGACCTTAACATTCACAACAAATTTTCAATGTAAAAATATGCATTTGTCACAAGAATAGATACATAAAGTCCCTCAATATACANACGCCTAGCCTCACCCCTTGCTTTTCCAAATTTTGGGAAAAATGGTTAAAATTGGTGTTGTCACGTTGTCTTCATCAAGTAAAGTAATTTTTGTTCTTGGGATTTGATAATCCAATGGTTGGATCTTGAATTATGAGAGGAAGAAGAATAGAGAAGATGAAGAAGTTGGTGTTCTCTCTCTTTCTCCAACGAAAATTGCAAGAGAATGGAAAAAAAAAATCTGATTTTCTACCTTTAACTCCTGTTTTTTATACTTGACTCATAATGTGCCACATGTCACCTTTCTATTAGTTGAAAATCCAAAAGAGCCAATCACCTCCTGACACGTGTCATGCTTGCATAGTGTTATTTAAATATCTATATCATTTATATTATGGATTCCGCCAATAAACTAAGTTGCTGGNGTAGAGTCTCCTTTGTATGGGGAGCTCCCTCCAAACCTTACATGTGTTCTAAACTAACACAATGACCTTAACATTCACAACAAATTTTCAATGTAAAAATATGCATTTGTCACAAGAATAGATACATAAAGTCCCTCAATATACAATGCCTTTACTTAAAAAGTATGTACAAGGTTTGTATAACCAAAATAAAAGGATCAAGATGAATACAATGAGACCTAAGCAACTGTACGTCCAAAACAAAAAGCCGGACTTTAACTCCATCGTCAAGCCGAACCCATGGGAGGTTCATCTACGGAAGCGCGAATACCCAAAAAATGTTCTCACAATGGGGTGAGACAAAGCCCAAAGAATACATCTCAATCAAAATACATATGATGTGACTGCACATTTGCGACGCCAAGCATATAACCCAAGTAACATTTAAATGATACTAAACATGTCAACTATGAATGATGTCTCATGAATGCATGTACAAAAATGAACCCACTACTGTGTTCCCATGCACGACATATAAATGCAATGCCATGACATAAACTGGACATTTCAAGCCCCTGCCATTAGGTCATACACATCTCATGATTATTTATTTATTTTGGTGTTTTTATTGGGGTTGGTAATTCTTGGACTTCCACCAATGGGCTACCAAAGCGACATGGAATTTTGAGGGCAACCCACCTCATGTTTCGCATACACCAACACATTTTTATGGACTCGTTACACCACCGGCTAGTGTGTGACTGACAAAATTGAGGTTTGCACCCGAGGAATAATCTAAATCTTCTAGCTATACCTCGACACACTTTTATGCAATATCCCATGATACTTAACCAGACCTTGGTCCAAACTTTTCGAGCCCTATCCATCAACTCACCTATTTGGTGATTGATTAAACTCATGCGTAACACTCACAAATCATGACATATTTCAAGAATGTAGTGTGCCCCATGCATATGTAATGTAATGCACCATTGTAATTTAATCGTAAACACAATGTTAACTATAGCATTTGCATATAATAAACATTCTAGCACATCACCAAGCATATCATAAGCATTAATTAACTAAAATAACACACTTGCATATAGTTAGGTATTTTATCAAACACCTAGAGGGCATAAATAAAAAACACATTGCATACCCATTCATTTGACACATACTTGACATGTTCGTCATCCAAAATCAAATAAAAATAGGCATAACATGCTCAATAATTCACCAAACATCTCACTAGTTACACTAGCTACATGGTGGATATGTAAATATTCTACATAATTCTACCTATACTAGAATTGCAAGTAATTCTAAATAGGAGGAACCCTCACCTCTTGTAGTGTAAAACAAAGAAGAAAACCTCTTTAAAATACTAAAAAATAACTCTTCAATGCCTAGCCTCAACCCTTGCTTTTCCAAATTTTGGGAAAAATGGTTAAAATTGGTGTTGTCACGTTGTCTTCGTCAAGTAAAGTAATTTTTGTTCTTGGGATTTGATAATCCAATGATTGGATCTTGAATTATGAGAGGAAGAAGAATGGAGAAGATGAAGAAGTTGGTGTTCTCTCTCTTTCTCCAACGAAAATTGCAAGAGAATGGAAAAAAAAATCTAATTTTCTACCTTTAACTCTTGTTTTTTATACTTGACTCATAATGTGCCACATGTCACCTTTCTATTAGTTGAAAATCCAAAAGAGCCAATCACCTCCTGACACGTGTCATGCTTGCATAGTGTTATTTAAATATCTATATCATTTATATTATGGATTCCGCCAATAAACTAAGTTGCTGGAATTTAATCGTGTGTTTCGTCTCGTTTTACATGAAAATTCAGACTATTTCAGAGTTTAATGAAAATCGTAACTCGATTTCGCAAGTTGAATTTAACACTAAGATCTATTTTGTCATTTGAATTATATAAAAAATTAGATTTTTAACCCTCAGTAAACTGGCCTAATTACTATATTACTCTTTTAAGATTTTAATTTTTCAAGTTTTACAGGAGATTAGTTTATTTTAGTGGGAGTAAGATAGTTGCCTAAAATTATTTTCGTGAAAGGTTGAAAATTCTCTACGACCAAAGTCGGAGTTGGAGGTCGGAACATATGATTCTGACTTCGTCGGAGTCGGAGCCCACCCCTTTTCTCTCATATTCTCTCTATTAAATTTTNAGTTTAATGAAAATCGTAACTCGATTTCGCAAGTTGAATCTAACACTGAGATCTATTTTGTCATCTGAATTATATAAAAAATTAGATTTTTAACCCTCAGTAAACTGGCCTAATTACTATGTTACTCTTTTAAGATTTTAATTTTTCAAGTTTTACAGGAGATTAGTTTATTTTAGTGGGAGTATGATAGTTGCCTAAAGTTATTTTCTTGAAAGGTTGAAAATTCTCTACGACCAAAGTCGGAGTTGGAGGTCGGAACATATGATTCTGACTTCGTCGGAGTCGGAGCCCACCCCTTTTCTCGCATATTCTCTCTATTAAATTTTCAATTAATTATTTGCACTTAAATTAATTTCCTATCATTTTTATTTTTGGTTTTGGTTTGTATGGAAAACCGACGCTGTCTTGGTTTGTGTTTTACCACCAAGGATTAAAAAAAGCAGCAGCCAGAACCTGCAAGGACGAAAGACAAAGAATGGCAAGTACGGAAGAAATGTTAGAGGAGCTTCTTAATATTGAGGTTGAGCTTCAAGACGTCCAAGGTTCGACCTCCCAATCATTTTACTCTCTGTCTCCCACACCTGTCTTTTTGCCTTTGATTTCTCATCAAACATCAATAGTTACTTGATACCCCCAGCTTCTCTTCCTCCATGTAATTTAAGCTTTGCTCGTTTTACTGCTTCAAGTTTCTTATTATCTTTGTTTTGTTGCGTAATTTGGGGTTCCATATGTGTGAATTTCTTAATGTTTACAAGGACGGCTGGATATTTCCTTTTCTTTTCTTTATTTTTTTACGAATTTTTAAGGACTGAAGGTGTTCTGTCAAGTAACTGATACTGGAGTGACAATACCCGACTTTTTACACCGATTCAAATTGTCTTGATCATTGGTTTTTAACCAAACATTCCGTGCATACTGATCGTGGCAGTGGCTTTTTGTAGAGGACTGACCTTGATGGATATTTGTTTTGAAATTATAGAAAAGTAGGAAAGATTTTTCTGTGTAGAATTTCTATTAGTGTAGCATTATTCCTTATGAATATTGATATGAATTANCCTTGATGGATATTTGTTTTGAAATTATAGAAAAGTAGGAAAGATTTTGCTGTGTAGAATTTCTATTAGTGTAGCATTATTCCTTATGAATATTGATATGAATTAAATGATGTTTGAATTTGGCTGCTCGACTTGGTTGTCCTATGGGTCTCTTACCTTATATCTTAATGTTGAAGTTTAATATATTTAGTCCATTCTATTTGCGGTTTTCTGTCCATTATTAACTGAATCTTATTGATCTTGTAACACAAATTTTGGCTTATGTATCTCAATTGTAGCATATGACATATGTTAATGTACCCATGTCTCCATTTCTAGATCAGATAAAGATATTTTTTGATCGGCAAGAGAAGTTGCACGACAGACAATCTGAACTGAAGTCCCTATTAGAAAATTGTGAATCATCAGGAAACCATGCTAGCAGTGGCCCTGTTGTTTCTTCAGAGAATTGGTCGGGGCCATTTGAATGGGATTCTGAAGCTGACGATGTTAGGTTCAATGTTTTTGGCATATCCACGTACCGTGCAAATCAGCGAGAGGTCAGTGCCATCTCAATCATTTGGTTGACTGCTTCGCTCTCCTTCCATTGAAGGCAATAGACTCTTCTAACCGTTTGATTTATTTACCCTATATCTCCAAATGAGATTGGGACAATCCATTTCATAATTGTTAGGAGATGTTTACGTGCAGAGAGTTTCCTTCTTAGTCTTCACTGGTTGTTTTTTGTGTTGCATCCTTGCTTGTGCTTTAGTTGTCCTCGATCTGCCAAGCGCATGAGATGTTACACACAGATGGAGGCTCAACATACATCTCTTGTTCCTTTTCTGTTTGTCATGGCGAAAATTCTGAACACAGAAGTACTTATGTACTAAGTGTTGGTAAAATTCTATAGGTAAACCTTATTTCAAAATTAAGCGGTGTCGGATATTTATCAATGTTTAAGGTTAACTTTGTTGTTGGATTGATGTCTTTTATAAAATTGACTTATGATTCACAAATTTTCCTATCTTTGCTTCTCCTTTTGGCGTTATAATTTTCTTTCCCTCTATTTTTGACGGATGTAGAGGTAGGTATCTAAAAAATCAAACATTGGGGATATTTTGACTAGGGCAAAACTCTTGTTTGCATCAGCTGCTGAACTTGGAATGAAAGAAAAAGAAGTGTACGAGAAATAGATCTTCTTGTTAAAAATTTCATGCTATTAGTTATATTAGGATGATGTAAAAGAGCAGATGCAAGGATAAAGGGATGTCATGAGGAATTTTTGGGGAAAGAGAATAGGAACTGAAGGGCAAAAGAGGTGAGGGAAATCATAGAAAAGATGGAGAAAAAGAGGTGACTAAAGAGATAACATAAAAAAGGTAGGGCACAAAGATATGTTGTTAGTGAGATGAGGGAGATAGAAATAATGAGAGCACATGAGAGAGAGAGGGGGAAGGATAGAAGCTTGGGGTCTGTCGAGCAAGGATCAAAATTTTGTTTTGTTTATATTGTTTCGATCAAAGCTTTTTTTGTTTCACCGGAAAACGATTCGAAACAGTAATGAAAGATTGACATTTTCATGTTTCACAATGTTTCTTCTAATGTTTGGGGATGTTTCGGAATCAAAATTCTAATTTCTTTTTCTCAGTTTTCATGTTGTTTCCAAATCATTTCCAGAACATTTTCATTGATGAGCTGATCGAAACTATGTACAGAAAAAACCTTTGGATCCTTGTTGTCAAGACCTCCTTTTCTCAAAAGATGCTTCCAAGCTAAGGCACCATAAGTTCACTAGCTGGATCCGAAAATGGTGTCATATAAATCCAATAGTTCCAAGAACCTTTCCAGGCTTTGATAAGGATGTGTACAAATGTTAGCGTATTTTAGAGCCATTACTCCCTCCATATGAGAGATCCAATCTAATAGGTCAGACAAGCAGAGATAATAGTTGTTATCAAGTTTTACATGTGAAATAGATGCAGTAGGTCTATTCTCACTCACCACTCCCGTATGAAAACAACAGACTTTCACTCGACCTCTTCGACAGCCCCAACCAAGATTTCACACCACACTCCTCTTCCCATTAACCAACTACCACTATACTGATCACATTGTTTTCGGCTCCCAATTCAATGAGCCTATGGGACTTGATGATGAGGCAGAATCGGTCTTGGATGACCTAGGCCAACATCAACCATATGAATTCGGTACATACCCTATGTTAATAAAGTATCACATATGTATAGAATGAACAGGAAAACCATTATTAACTATGAATGGTTTACGGTAATGGAGCACTAAAAGACAAAAAAAAATAATCCATCCATGTCGCCCGCGTCAATGATCTCCGTTGACAATCACAAAACTCTTCCCTTTTGTCAGAGAATGTCAAAGGAACAATATATAGTGGAGCACTATAAGAACAAACAATCAGAATAGAAAAAGCCAAATTTCATAGACAAACAAACATAGTACATTGAGTTTTCATGCATGCCAAAGGCAACACACCCACTCGCATAAAAATAGTAGAATCAAAAGCATAAGAAACAAATAAAAGCGCAATTCTATAAATCTAAGTTGCTCGAGCATTTCATCATCACCATGCTCATCATCACCGAGCAGCCCAGTTCGATGTATCTGTCTACTCATATGACCCAGAGAAATTATGTTCGTGCAGTGTGTGTCTGGATAAAGAGAAATGGAGAAGAATTACTTGCCTTTGCAGTGACTATAGCTCCAGCCCACACTAGCTCATCGTTTGTTTCGGATGGAACATTCTGTTGCTGGGATGAAAGTGCTAGTGTGTGTGTGAGAGTTTGAGAGAGAGAGGAAATTGTCCAGCCATAATCAGAATAAAAGGGGATGGATTTATTTGTTTGTGTGAGATGAGAGAGAAGATGACAGTTACAATTTTACAAATACAAATTTAATAGTCATAATGTCACATTTGTTCATTGGCATATTTTTGATATTTCTTATTAAATTGGAGTTGTTTGGTCAATTCAGACTGCTGTTATTTTTTCCCCGGGGGAAACAGAGAAAGGGGGGG